TTTTTTTTTTTTTTTTTTTTTTTTTTTTTTTTTTTTTTGTAGCTACTATTCTGAGGCTCGTGCTTAAAAGTTACTATTTTGTTATTCCTCTTTTTTTTTATTAGAATGTTGATTACTGTGCTGATCATGCTCATGTGAAAATAGAAGCTAATTCTTTTTTGTTTTTCTTCCCAGTGAAATAAATTAAAATTGAAGCTAATTCTATTTTGTGTCATGGATATTATCCATAGCATGTAATTAAAGTTTGGTTGAATGCTTGACAAAAACGGGGTTTGTCGCGGCTTTTTGTTTTGCAAAATCTTTAGGATGTTGGACCTGTTTGGGTATAATTTTCAACAAGCATTTCTGGGAGAAAAATAATATGAATGAAAAATAAATCAAGCTTCTCCATAAGCTGCAATTAGCTTATGTATAAACTAATTTGTAGAAGGTCTCATATTAGCCTTTTCAAAATCTTATTTTTAACTTATGTAGTTTTAGCTCACGGGAAAGTTTATTTCTGTTATTTGGGTTTCTCTTCCTATTTATTTCTCTTAAAAATGTTTCTAAAAATGTTTATCTAGACAGACTCATTGTCAAATTGGGCATGAAATCTTTATGCACCGTCTTCTTCTGGATCCTGAATCTCTGATTTTTTCTTCTTCTTGTATTTGTTTTTAATTCTTGGAATGCAGGATACTGGGTTTCCGTTGACTGAAAGGGATAGATTGGGGCTTCGGGGCCTCTTACCTCCTCGTGTTATATCATTTGAGCAGCAATATGATCGCTTTAGTAAGTTTGAGGACCATTTTTTTGATATTTATTGATTGGGGTATTTCAGTAGTAGGCATTTTGCCTATCTTCTGAAAGCTATATTATCTAGTTTACCTGTCTTTCCAGTGAATTCATTCCGATCTTTGGAGAATAATACTCAAGGGCAACCAGATAAAGTTGTTTCCCTAGCAAAATGGAGGATCTTAAATAGACTGCATGACAGGAACGAGACTCTGTATTACAGAGTGAGTTAGACGATAGAGTTTGCTTTTTTTGGTTTTTGAGTTAAATTTCTTGTTAATGTGAGAGTATGATCAAATTTCTGTTATAAGTATATATCGTTAAATTTCATTTCTTTTCAGGTTCTTATTGATAATATTAAGGAGTTTGCTCCAATAATATATACTCCAACAGTTGGATTAGTGTGTCAAAATTATTCAGGGTTATTTAGACGTCCACGTGGAATGTATTTTAGTGCCAAAGATAAAGGAGAGATGATGTCAATGATCTATAACTGGCCAGCTCACCAGGTATTGCATTTGTTTTGGAAATTCAGTATCATTTTCTTTTTGTTCAATATTGAAATTGGAAATAGCTACTTTCCTTTTATCCTTCCCTTATAATCCTTACACTGCATTTTTCAACCCTGAAATTTTGAATTTTTGAAACACTTAATTGAATTCTGTAATTCTTACTCTGAATTTCATAAATTTCCACTTTGAGTGATAAATAAACAGATATTCACTTGGCTTGGAATTATGATATCCCCTTCTGTTGAAGTTTAATATAAAAAACTCTCGATATATTATATGTCAAAATTTTTAATCCTTAAAAAGGAACCAGTTGTTATAGAATGCAATATGGCTTCCTTTGTTACAGTTTGTATGGATCCAGATTAATGTATCCAAAAATATTTTTTTAGGTTGTGTTGTTGATGATTTTGGTTTTACTTTCCACAACATAAATGTTCTCATTGAGTGACGAAATTGGCTTGCAATTGTTCATTCGTTTTGTTTGGTTTTCATCATCTTACTGCTCTGTTGCAGGTTGACATGATTGTCTTAACAGATGGAAGTCGAATTCTCGGCTTAGGTGACCTTGGAGTTCAGGGAATTGGAATTCCCATAGGGAAACTTGATGTGTACGTTGCTGCTGCTGGCATCAACCCACAAAGAGTATGCTTCTTTTTATCTCTATATCTATTTTTTCATCTCAATCTCTGGCTGGCAGAAATCTGACAGGAGTTACTTATGGATTTTTTGTTGGTGGCCTAGGCTTGGGATAAAGAGCATTCTTAACATTTAAACAGTGGACAGGATTATTACTTATTCTAGGATAGATATAATTTCATTATTGCTTGTAATTTTCTCATTTGTAGTTACACATGTCTTCTCTAAATTACTTACAATGTGTTCATGATGTTCTAGCACCATTAAGATCATTAATTTGGAATAATAAGTCAATTAAATATCTTTTGTTTAACAACTACTTGATAATTTCACTCTTGTTAACTCACTGACGCTGTGTGGTTTTTCCAACTGTGGCAGATACTTCCAGTTATGCTGGATGTTGGCACCAACAATCAAAAGCTACTTGACGATCGCCTTTGTGAGTAAAACTCTGTTCTTTTTACATCTTCTGTTTTCTTGTTTATAGCTGTTTTTTGTCTTGGTAATTTACTTGGAAACAAGGATGGAGCCAGATACTTTTTTCATTACTATTTTAAATTTAGAAGCAGGAATGACTGATTAATAGACTGAACTGGACTATGGTTTTAGATCATAGGCATTAACACTTTAAAATTGTGGAACAAGAGTGAAAGATTAATATTTCAGCACCTTCTTTCCCTTCTGGGCTACTAATACTATTACTACAATAGAAGCTTTAGAATCTTTAGAATTAACATACCTTGCTTCTCAACCTTGCACATACTTCCCACCTCACCATAGCTAGCTTTGTAAGTTTAAGAGTTGTCAAATAATATGACTTATGTTGATATCAGAAGAAAATGGCATTTTTAACATCTTCATGTGGCAGATTTAGGACTTCGACAACCAAGGTTGGAAGGTGAAGAGTATCTATCAATTGTAGATGAATTCATGGAAGCTGTTCATGCTCGATGGCCCAAGGCTATTGTGCAGGTATGTTTGTTTATTTTTTCTCCTTTCCCCATTGATACGCATTGGTTTGTATTTATTCTAGCACATATTGCTCAATGTTCTATTTAGATTTTATCAATGTTGTGACTAGCATGTTGTGTTGATTTTTATCAGTTTGAGGATTTCCAAATGAAGTGGGCTTTTGAAACCCTGGAAAGATATCATAAAAGGTTTTGCATGTTTAATGATGATATACAGGTGAGAAAGTGATATTAAACATTGTTAATGTAGAAAATGTCTAATCACCAATGTGTTATCAAACACAGTGCGTTATTGAAGTAACTTATGAACCTTCAATTTTATTTCATGTCCTATAGGGCACTGCTGGTGTTGCACTTGCTGGATTGTTGGGAACTGTAAGAGCTCAAGGCCGATCATTGACTGATTTTGTGAACCAAAAGATAGTTGTGGTTGGAGCTGGGAGGTACTTCACTTTCAAAATTGATTATGTGAACATGATATTGGGTGTTCAATTTCTATTGTTGATTGTTGTTATTATATTCCTTCATTATAGCTATTTTCTGCCTCAAGCTTTTTTTGCCTGGATTGCAGTGCAGGGCTTGGGGTTCTGAAAATGGCCATCCAGGCAGTCGCAAAGATATCTGGGTGCAGTGAATTAGCTGCCAAAAGCCAGTTCTATTTGATTGATAAAGATGTATGCTTTTATGACCTTTACTAGCATTGTCAGTCCTTCAAGTTACATCATTGTGTTGGCTTTCGTATCCACCATAAAATAAAATGTCCTCCTTTTCAATTGTGGTTTTGAACGAACTTCATGTAATATAAACATCATTTTAATTTTTTTCATCATATTCTTTGTCTTGATTTGTCTTGGCATTTAATGTTGTTGGCACAAGAGAGGAAATAAATATTTGTGTGCAATAAATTATTTTTTGATGCTGCTATTTCATATTTGTATGTAGGGTGTCCAGTTTACATCATTACATTTTTAAATTTAATATGATAAAAATGCCATCTTTCTATGCAGGGTCTAGTCACAACAGAAAGGAAAAATCTAGATCCAGCTGCAGCTCCATTTGCTAAAACTCCAAGAGATATAGAGGGGCTCAGTGAGGGTGCTAGTATAATTGAAGTGGTAAATCTTACAGGATTCATTAAGGAAAATTCTTTTGGCTTAAGGCTCTACCTTTATGAATTTGAAAGAGTTGTTTTGATATGGAAGGACTAAACATCATTACTCTATTGATGCTAATTTTAAAGACTATTCATACTTTTATGTCCATCCTTTAATTCTTAATCCATCGATCTTTAGGTTAAGAAGGTTAAGCCACATGTGCTCCTTGGTTTGTCTGGCGTTGGTGGTATTTTCAATGAGGAGGTAATTACCTTCTACAATATAACTTCTATGTTCTATCATGTCATATCCTTCAGTGAGTTATATTAAATAAATAAATGGAATAGACATCTTTGACAGCTTTGGGTACTGTATTAGAACTTCTGCAGTTGAATTTCTTAATTTTAATGGTTGAGATTCAACTCAGGTGCTTAAGGCAATGAGAGAATCTGTTTCAACAAAACCTGCTATCTTTGCCATGTCTAACCCCACCATGAATGGTTTGTTTGTACAAGGCTCATCAAGCACTTATAATTCCTTAATAGTGTTTATGTTTTTTCACTGACTTTATTTGTTTATTTATTTATTTATTTTTGTGTATTATGGGAATAGCTGAGTGCACTGCTATTGATGCTTATAAGCATGCTGGGGAAAATATAGTGTTTGCAAGTGGCAGCCCTTTTGAAAATGTGGATCTTGGTAATTACCTCTTTATTTGGTGTTGAAGTATCTTGTATAGTTCAGATTATGCTTGGGTGTTAAAGAATAAATTGATTTAAAATTTTAAATTCCGTGCAGGTAATGGGAAAGTGGGCCATGTAAATCAAGCAAACAACATGTACCTGTTCCCAGGGTTGGGCATATCTTCTTGGCTTGTATATTCTAATAAATTATACCTGTCAGTTGAATTGTGTAACTTCAATTTAACCATTTCATTTCAGAATCGGTTTGGGAACTCTTCTGTCAGGTGCTCACCTTATAACAGATGGAATGTTACAGGCAGCTGCCGAATGGTATGATGTTAATATCGATTATTTTTTTATTAACCAAAAGCTATTGGAAGTGGCATTCATTGAAGTTTGGCAACATGTCTTCTGACATTATAGAGTCCCTAGCATAATAGAATTTACTAGGCTGCCATAATCATTGAACTGTCTGTCCTTGTCGTTTCTGTTGCCTCCACTTTCTTGTTCTCTACATTTCTTTCTTTCAAATTCCATTCTATATAGGTCTTATGTGTTCTTTTCCTTATCCGGAAAAACGTGCACTACTTGGTATTCATATGAATTAGCCATAGTTTTTTAAGTACTAGTTATCTTCAATGCATTTCTTCTGCAAGTTATATGATGAAAATTATATTACTAATTTCTTTTGACTAAATTGCATCTTCCTTTTCAATTTTCCCAGTTATGACTTATGATGGGATGCCATTTAATGCTTGTTTTCAAATAAATTACTAACATACTGACATCCTTGCAGCCTTGCTTCATACATGGCTGAGGAAGATATCTTAAAAGGAGTTTTGTATCCATCCGTTGATAGGTAATATTCTTTTTCCTCTTGATATCTTTTGCTTTTCATTTTTCTTTGGCTCTGCTTTTCCTGTTGTCTTTTGTAATGACAAGGACAAATGAATCTGAAAATTTTAATGAACTTAAAACAATGATTCGGTGAATGTTATTATCTAGGATTCAGATGCCAAGTATGGCACCAAATATCTAGTAGTATATATCGGTGTTGCCACTCATCTTTCATCTAAGGTGATCTAATATGGTTAGAAAGATGTATACTCAGTTTTTTATGAGAAAAAAATGGTCTTGTTGATTTGGTTGTTTGTTTAGAAGTTAAGAAATTCTTAATATAACTGATATTATGCTCTTCTTTTATCAATGCTACTTTGCTTGCTGCAGCATACGGGATGTTACGGCAGAGGTTGGGGCTGCTGTGCTTCGAGCAGCAGTCGAAGAAGAACTGGCAGAAGGACATGGTGATGTGGGGCCCAAAGAACTTTCCCATATGTCAAAAGTATGGAAAATTTTCAGATAAAAAATCTTTGAAATATTAAAACTACTGATAGAATGTGCCACTAAGTTTTGCATGCAAGCAGTCTAGAATGTATTGATTGACATATCTGTAAATTGCAAAATTAACTGGTGGTTAATGTTTTCAGGATGAGACTGTGGAGTACGTCCGAAGCAATATGTGGTATCCTGTGTATTCTCCTCTAGTTCATGAAAAATGATATCCTGTCTATATGTACAATTTTTTGGGGTCTCAGTGCACTTCACGTCTCAAAATGCTGCTGCCAAGACTTTGGTTTCTAATCTAATACTCTTAATTAAAATTTATTACTAGCCACGTCCAGTATTGGATGGCAAATAGCGAAAAGGGGAGATATATGTCTCTATTCGTTTCGGCCGTGAATTTATTGTATTAGTATTGAAATTTGACATTTTATAGTTCCTTATATTGTCTATGACCATGTTGGAGTCTGGGAGACACTTGTTCATAGTTGTGGATTAGTGGTTTCATTTTGTAGCATTCTTGTATAATGGTGGCACATATATTTATATTTATAGAAACTTTCTTATTTAACTTCTCTAAAAATACATGTAAACTTAAGATTTGTTTGTAACTTAAGAATTAATACTCATCTCAACCAAGAAAGTTCCCATAACTTAAAAGCTATTCAAAATTAACCTTAATATGATATATTAAGTATAATCATTTGGTATGTATTTGTATTTATACCGTACTATTTTGTCATTTTTCTAAATTCAACAAAACACACACACACTCACACACACACATATATATATATATATAAACCCGAACATTATAATGGAAATTTCATGAAAAATAACATAATTTTCCATCAATTTAAACGTAAAATATTATTTTGTGCTAACATGATAATATCACGTTATTAGTAGCAAGATAAGCTTAGAATATTTTAACAAAATAGTTGGGTATTTTTTATTATTTAGAATTTAATAAAATATAGTTTACGTAATTGAAATATGTTATAGAGTACCAATCAAGTAAATATCAGTGATAGTCATTATAAAATAATTAAACAACATAAATTATAAACATCTTATTAATTATTAAGAGTAAAAAATATCATAGATTAAACAAGTAAAGTTAGGGACATCCCACTAAATAAATATACATAAAATATAACATAAATAAATAAATATAATATCATATAGAATTTTAAAAAGATAAAGTTCTTTTCCCTCTTACCTTAGAATGTAGACTTAACAAAAGTTAACTATGTCAAAATTTCATTGTTCTCTTCCTACTCACTTCTCTCTCTTTCTCTCTTCTCTTCCTTCTTTTTTTTTTTTTTTCTCACTATGTGAGCTTGTGCATGTGAAGCTATTTATAGAGTGAATGACAATGATTACATGGTTAACTTTTAATGGGAATTTGGTTTCATTTGGTTAGTTTCCTATGCTCCATTTCTTCCTAGTTTCTTAGGGATAGGGTTCATTAATTAAGGGATAAGAGGATAAGGTGTACAGCAGGAGATTTTTGCTACAGATTTTTCCTTTTTTTTTTTTTTATAAAAAATAATAATAATTTTTAAATTTTTTTTACCCTTTCATAATGTTTATATATATATATATAAATTTAATATAATTACTTATATTAACCATTTGAAATTTTAAATATAAATATATATGTATCATAATATTATTTTTAAAAGAAGCAAAGTTATAATAAAATTGAATACTAAATATTTCCATTTTAATTTGTTGGAAATAAAAGAAATTATAATATATCAAAAATACACATATGTATTTATTTATTTATTTTAAATATAGTAATTAAAAATTTTAAGAATAAGACAATGATAAAGGAATTTATAATATTGTATTAAGAATTTAAAAATATTACACATATTTTACATTTACAAAGGTGAGAAATAGATAGTTAATTTCAAACATTTATTTATAATAATAAAAATAATATACTATTTTGTGTCCACATTTCAAAAAATAATTATATCCTTATTTTACATTCTAATTTTTTTAACACAAATATCTCTCTCTTAAAGATGCAATAAAAAAAAATATGTATATATATATATGAAAAAATTTCTTCATCTCATTATAATTGCCTACCTTTTTTTCCCCCTTCTTTTTCTAAGGCATGAATTGTCTTTTTCTTTATTAGTAATATATTCTTTTTATGCTAGTGACATACTCTTTATAAACTTATATATAAGTAAGATAAATTAATTTCACACAAATTAAGAAAGATAGTTAAATGTATTTATATTTTAAAATTTTATATAAATTATAAGTCTTGTCTACTAAAATATTCTTAATCATATTTATCGAAGACTATTTTTATTTATTATCTTATGAATATTTTTAAATAAAAACTATTAAATAAAATTGATTTAATTAAAATTTATTTACATTTATATTTAATTTTTTTTATCTTATATTATATATAAGTTTAAAAGTTTGGGAGAGTCTCTTCAAATAGCCACTCATGTACCTGTGTTAGTTGAGAGTTTGCTGTTAATTGATGCAATGAGTGTTAGATTCTTTCGATTATAACTTCTTTATTTTTTTTTCTTTTTCTTTATTACCTTCTTGTAAAAAAAAAAAAAAAAAAGTTTAGAAAAAGTATCACATAGCATTTAAGAAGCGTGGGCTATTACACCGTCGCATCAATGTTTTGGTGTTGCTATGCCAATATTTGCTACTTCAAGTTTCAATCAAATAATTCCTCTGCCTTACTAACCTAAAACTCTCGTACATTAACATTTTTAACAAGAGAAAATTCACAAAAAGGATATTTCTTTAAGATATGGTTTGTTAATGATGGCCATATTTATGGAAAAAGTGGATTGTATATATAATTTTTTTTTCATATATATAGACAAGATTCACATTGTATACCTGTAAAGTTGAAAATTAATCAAAATAATGCACTCGCGATGTAAACTTGTAATTTACTCATCACACTCCATTTTCAAACAAGAAATTCGCATCACAATTTTGTGTGGTTAGAGAGTTTACTAGACAACTTTACACTTGTGTTTTGTTATCTTAACATAGTAATGTGATAGAGACAAAACTCTTATAGGCCATTAAGGGAAGTTCAATTTTCTCGAGTTGCGTATAGATTTATACTTTCTTTTCATGTTCTGTTTAGTTTTTTTCGGTACATAATCTTTTTTTTGGCACTTACTTTCTGTCTAGTTTAATACTATTATTGTTTGATCGTTAATATCTTAAATGTGGATTGCACATTATTTATTGATCTCAATTCTCAACTAAGCATAGCCCAGTTATCATCATGAAGCATGTTGCAGTAAGTTAAGTGAAGCAAAACAAAAATAGTATAAATAGTAGTAATCAATTGAGAAGAGGGAGGGGGCGAAAATCAGAAATCAAAAGAGGGGCGATTCAATAGCATTGAGCAATTGGGTAATTTTTCTTCATCTTATTCTTCATTGTTTCTCATACATGCTTGCCATTTCTTCTTTGTGCATTATAATAACATTAATAGCTGAGAAATAAGAAGGAAAGATGAGAATAAAAAGAGTCAAATATGAATAGAGAAATCATACCATCACCCAGCCATTGAAACCACGGTCTAATTAAATCAAGCCATGCGAATCCCCATTGGGCCGAACCACCACCATGGGCCACACTAAAGCCCAATAAACCAACTGAAAAAAAAAATAATGTTTAGAATCAAATCTGAAATGTAAATCATTATTCTCTCTCTACATAATTTTTTTAATAAAGAAAGAAAAGATTACAAAAAATAGTTGTAGATTAAACCTAAAACTTCATGCTTTTAACTAGGTTAATCCTAGTGATCTTCTCTCTCTTCACATCTAACAAAAGCAACATAGTATTTTTTTTAATGTGATTCTTCCTTGAATGTGGATTGTAAATGTAAATCCAAAAAGTCCTTAATCACAATGATAACCTTATTCTTTCTCTTACAGAAAGTATTCCTGTTCAAATAGTGATCTTGAAAAGAAATGTCAAAAAAAATTCATTCATTAATTTTTTTTTTTATAATGTACCTTTGTTAAATCTATTAATAATATAAAGGGAATAAGTTATGCTTTTCCGCCAAAACTTTCCTCAACATATTTCTATATACAAGTTTAATAAATTAAAATTAAAATTCTATTGTTTACATAATTATATAATAGAATAATCTATTATTATAAGAAACTGTAACAATATAATAAAATATTCATCACATTAATTTTAAATTATTACATTTTAAAAAAATTAATTATAAAGTTTACATAAAAATAATTATATGTTAAAAATAATGAATATTAGCAGAAAAAATACAACATATTAATATAGTGAACAATTTCTACAACAATTTTCTCTCTCTAAAATATCATAAATAGTAATTATAAAATTATTATTTATTATATTAATATAAGAAATATAATTAAATATAATTTTATATAAAAAAATATTAATATTTTTATATAAATATTTTTAAGTAAAATATTCAAAATTTCTAACTCTGAAAATTTTTATCTAAAATAATATTCTTATAAAATAAAAATAATAATACATTAGTATCGTAAACTATAACATTTTAAAACATTAATTACATTAATTTTAACTTATTACAATTTTAAAGTAAAAATAATTATAAATTTACATAAAAAGTAATTATTAACAATAATCATAATTATACACTAAAAATAATAAATATTAGTAAAAAAATAACACATTAATAACACGAACAACTTCTATAATAATTCTTTTTAAAATATTAAAAAAGTAATTATAAATTTTATTATTATTAATATATTACTATTAAAAAAATACACTTTAGAAGGAAAAGTTATATTAATTAATTAAATTGATATCAAGATATATATCATTAACCCTTTCAAATACTAATATTTCCTTCAAATATATACTATAATGTTATTTACAAGGAACCTTTCAATAATTTGTAAACAATTAGTATATATTTATTTTTTAATATTATTATTGATTCATTATTAATATTATTATACTTTATATTTATTATTGTTATCGGTTTTCATTTATAAAATTAATTAAATATAATTTCATCTAATTTGGTATGAAATGTGCTAACGTGTATTAATGTTTTTCTTAATCATAAATATACTTTACTATGAATCTTAAAACCAACGATAACTACTAATGAATACTTTCTTCTTGTGACCGAATTCCAAGGGCTTTTGTTTGTTTATAATTGTTGTTATAATACAGTTACTTTTGTAAATGACAAATTATTAATGCCAAATTAAATATAAATTAGAAAGATTAAATAAAGTATAGGATTCAAAGCGATTAATTAAGACTTATTTGGGGCTAGCTATCTCACCCTTTGAGGTGCCTCTAACATAGCGAGGAGATTAGTTACTGCTGTCGGCGGTTGATACTCCAGGGACGAACCAAAAAAAAAATCAAAACTTATTTCCTATTAATTCTATCAACACACTGGTTTCACGTGTTGATTACAAAAAAAAAATATTAATTATTTTGAGATGAGACTCCACTTAGTCTTGATAGCGATAGAATTATTAATCTTTTAGAGATGCCATCATTCCATTGCCTAGCACTCTTTTTGGACACTTTAGCTCCTCCACTCTTTTCAAAAGAAAAGTAAAAAAAAATAAAAATTTAAGAGTTAATTATCTATACACTGTCAGAGTAAACTTTTTTATACTGACAACCAATCATATCTTTTAAATTATTTTATTTTATTTTTATTTCATTAAATAACGATATTATTAAAAAATATAATTGATTGTCCGTGTAAAAAAATTATACACTAACAGTGTGTAAGTGATTAATTCAAAAATTAATCCTGAACAATTGAAATCATTTTTTTAAAGTTAATTATAACGTGAATTATTTAAATAATTAGGTGATCTTAGTTTTTTATTACACCAAAAGATACCCATGAATAAAGATTATTTTTCATCGAACAAAGATTAAAAAATAAACTTTTTACAGGGATTTTTCTTTTCAAGGAAATAATTATAAATATTAAATGGAGCAGTTAACCAGCAAGTTAATAACTGCAACAGAATAGTATCCTCCCAATTAACGGATATTTAAATAAGTTTAAAAACACTTTTAAGAATTTATATATTTATTTTTAATAAAAAAATTTCAAAAATGCTAGATATTCAATTCACTTCCAACTTCTCTCTCTGTTCACTTCTTGATAATTGCAAGCAACACTTTGCGGAAGGAGAAAGACCATGTCCTCAGTTTCTGTATTTTTGATCTTTTATTTGCTTTTAATTTTAATATAGCTTTTTATTTTTATTTATCAATAATAACAAATCAATTATTTAGAAAAAAAACAATTGCACAAGAATAATGGAAAGTAATTGAAAGTGGTTGAACAACCAAATTAAAAATTCAAAAACTCATGTTGACTAATTCCAAATAGATCAAAGGAGTATGAACACATTTTGTGTCACCTCTATGAAAGAAATATTATATATTCAAATGCAAGAAAAATGCGGCATATGTCCTTTTCATATTTGACATTAAAATATTTCACATCAGAAATGACAAACACATCAGCTTTGTAGTTGCAGACAACCCAGCTTGGGAATTTCTTATCCTTTACATCAGCACGTATCCACAAAATTTATCAAAGTGGCAATATAATATTTTATATTATTTTTATTGAAAAATATAATAACTTTTTGAAAAATATATTTTTTGAAAAAATTTAAAATACCTTTTTTTATAGATTATAATTTCTTTTATAAATAAAGTGATAATTTTTCTTTCTTTTTCTTTTTGTCTGATATTATCTTGTCTCATTTTGTATTCTTTTGTAATTTATTTAATATTAGAGGAATAAAATTATAAAAATTAATAGGTAAAAATAATAAAATTACTAATTTGTTTTTTCAGTGTTTTTTAAATTTCTACACTCATTTAAAATAAAAATATTTTATGAGTGCAATGTCTCTTTTTTTTTTATAAGAGTAAATTTATTTTTATTAAATATGCTTAAGTTAAAGAAAAATTGTGTGACAATTACTCTCATTTCTCTTAATGTGGATCCTCTCCTACTAGTATATTATATACATATACAAGATCAAAGGGTTAAAAACTAAAATAAAAATAAAAAAAACCTATATTAATAAACTAAATTATAATATTTTTAATGAGTAAAAAAGTAACAAATCTTTTAGTCAAAAAATATAATATATTATAATAATAAAAAATAAGGAAGCATCTACTTATTTCAATAATAAGTTTTGATAGACTTCTTCTACTTAATCACTCATGTTTTACATCATGTTTCTATGATCTAATCATTCAACTAAAAGTCCTTAATGTATAAAATAAATTTATAATTTTTTAAAAAATGGAAAGTTTTTTATACTTTAATTTATTAATTTAAATTGACAGATAATCATAAAAAATATTTTATTTTTTAATTTAAATTTATCTAATAAAGTATTATATA